TTGTATCCGCACAAAGACTCAAATTTCTCCACAATTCGTGAAAATCAAAAGAAAAAGACAGACAGAGAGAGAGAAAGAGGAGAAAGGAAAAATCAAGAAGAAAGTGAAGAAAAAAAGTCAAAATCCGCTGTTAGACGACGGAAGTCGTGGATAAACTGGCTGCCTCTCAGTCGCTTTTTTTCGGTTGGATCCACGTGAAGAGAGAGAGAGAGAGAGAGAGATCCCGATGGAAAAAGAGTTTCATTGTTGCGGAGGGTTTCAAACAATGGCCGATACAATGGCGATATATATATATATATATATATACACACGCGGTATCGTCAATTGTGCGTCAGCGTGCTACGCCGCTATTTTTCTTCCTTCCATTATGCTCTCTCTCTCTCCTCACCTCACCTCACAATGCCCTCTAACGAATCGCCGCCCTTTCGTTTTAATATCCGAAATAACGGATTTCTCGTCCGACCCGCGAGAAAACGATTTTTCACATTATCTTCCAGCCCGATAGTGTATGTACGCCGCGTGCACTCTCTCCTTCTTGAATTGGAGATTCGTGTAATGGTCGTTTTTACACACGTTTGCATCGACGCCACGTTGCGCGCGCGAGTCACAAGGTAGCTTTTCACGGAAGTATCGTTGACATTCCTGTATGTGAACAGTACAGTCCGCTTCATAAACGAAGGGAGCCAACTTTTGACTTTTCGTTGGGGAAGACAAGCTTTCCTTTTTGATTTTCCTGCAATACGATAATTCTTTTGAAATAATAATTGATGGATACAAAAAGCTTCTTAATTCAGATTAAATAAATAAGTATAACATTCGAGTGACGATAATTGCTTAAGAGTGATGATAATTGCTTAAGAATTCAACGTGGAGATTGAAAGAGGTTTATTGAGGTATTCACGTAAAATAAATTCCCTAGAAGTAAGTTTAGGTTGGTTAAACGATCTGACAAACTTTATCTTCTTCTTCTTCTTTCAAGATGTGTTTCACAGCTTATGGAGCCGAGTGTACACACGTTTCTTTTTATCCATCTTTCTTTTTTCTCTTTTTTTTTTTTTTTTTTTTTTTTTGATGTTCGTCTTTGTCGAACGAGTCGTAAAAATCATCTCCACGGGCGTCCAAGGGCTTGGAAGAGGGCCAAAAGGGATTTACAGGTGCGAGACGAGACGAGACAGGGAGACTTATTCGGTTTCCGCCACTCGAGTCAATGTACAAAGTGCATGCAAATTTTCTATAGGCGTCCGTTTTATATTCGACTTGGTTTCGTTTCCGACCCGATTTTCGTGTATAGCGTCGTCACGCCGGCCTCTCTGACACGCGATACCTTCCACTTCCATTCGAAACGTATTAGATCGAAAGCTACTTACAAATTCCCATAAGGCTTCCTCTTTGCCCGTACGAATGAATGGCGATAGATTAATGTTTCCATCCTCGTAGGAAAAGAAAAGAAATATTTCAAAAGAAATTTAAAAAAAAAAAAATATTACTTTTATGCTGATAGAAAAGAGAGACAGAAAGAGAGAGAGAGAGAGAAAAAAGTTCCAATAATATTTCCTCTCTCTTTATTTATATTTTACACTTGTATAAAGTGTAACTGTTTCAAGAGCCGTTTCAACGTAACTTATCTCTTGTCCAAAGAAAGATTCCCCCTTAACTCAATAATATTAAACTCCAATAACGTATGAAAACACGGAAAGAAGGGTCTCTTTCTTCCTTCGATCTTTAAGGAAAGAAAAATTGCAAAAATTGCCATGAAAATCAAAGCTCGCCGAAACGAAGAATGGTTTGGCACCGAGACAGTGCAAGGAGGAGAAGCGGCAAGGACCAAGGAGGAATCGAAGGTGGAGGAGAAGAGGCTCGAAGAAGCTTCGCGGGCGGAAGGTGGAGAGGAAAGGAGAGAGAGAGAAGAGAAAGAGAGAGAGAGAAACGTTGGGAACGGGCGTGCTCGCTGCTCGCGCATTGGTGCACCGGTGTGTACGATGTGTGCAGAGTCGCCATGTTGAATATCCCCACTTCCGCCCCACGTGTCGTACACCTACACACGTGTCGGTGACGCGATACCGGTCGCAATATCGTTTCATACGTTAAGGGGGCGAGAAATCGGCCTCCGCCATGGGGACTATCCTCCTTCTAAGGAGTTCGTTTAAATCCCCAAAATTGAAAGAATATCGAGAAGAGATGAGATGATATTTTTTTCATTCGAACTTCTCTCCTGTGTTTTTTTTTTTGGAAATTTTTTTTGGAAAAGAATGTTTTTTATCAAAGATTCAGGAGATTATTACTTTAAGAAGCAAATATGCGGTTAAGCAAATATGTTTTTCTTTGAAATTTCTTTGGAAAGTTGATCTGAAGAAAGGGGAAGTAAAAGAAAAAGATGGTGAAAGCGAATTATTATTATTTTGGGCTTTTGAGGAAATTTTCTTGAAACTTTAAAATGAATATTCCTTTTTTCAAAATTTTAAACGATATTACAGACGTTCAAGATATTTAAAATAATTATTGAATTATAAATAAACGTAACGGCTTATTAATTTAATGAATTATTCCGCATTATTGAGCTCGAACACGAAACTATTAAAATCTCATTCTCATGGAAAATGTATGCAATAATAATACAGTGAAGAGTTTAAACTTTCAAACTTTTAAAGTGATGACGGACAAGTAAATTGTTTTCACAATTTATCGAATACACGTCAACGAAAGAAAAAGTAATGCTTAATTGTTGTTTTCATAAAAAAAAAAAAAAATTAGAAAAATATATCGAACCAGTTCTAATATTAAACTTTCGAAAAATACCGAATGATTATAGTATGGATTTTACAGAGAATGACAGAAGAAAATTATAATGTTCTCGAAGAGCTCTAGTTATATGTTCGTGCTGCTGCAACACTTGGGATAAGCATTCCGGCAAAAAACTAATCAAACGACTATTTACAGTGTAATTTCAGTGTCAATTCGGAAAAGGGATAGTAATCATCGAATTTACAACTTTTCTCAATCATTTGCTTATTTTCTGACTACATTATATTATTTAAGTTACGACACGGAAATGGAGGAATTGATGAAATAAAATTAGAAATTCTTCTGAAAATCTTTGAAGGATGAGAAGAATGACAATTAATTAAAAGAAATGTAGCTTTAGAAATTTTCTTTAAAAAATCTGATATAACGAAATATAAAAAATAAAAGTTTCCAATCAATCACCGAATATCCGATGAAATGATAAAGGAAGAGATGAATTTTGCAAGTGTAGAAGGATTTTCGATCGATCGATCGATTTCTTACCTGCGAAGTTTCGACATAGCTGCTTCGACTCTCGATCGTTGCAACAGTCTCAGAACACGAGTCTTTGAACACGCAGACATTAACGAAGGACACTTGGGCCTCTCAGGTTTCGCGGCTCGGGTCGAAGGAAGTGACACTTTGTACAACGCTTCGACACGTTAATTGCTCGATTACACGTCCACAGTAGTAGTTACGTATGCACGTGATCCATTCGAGTAATTACGAGATCGATTAGAACCGATTCAGCGAGCGAGACACTTGTACGTGATAATCATACATCGTGGATCCCTCTGGAAATGATCCCATCTCTCACATTTTATTATTTCGTTATTATCGAATTAAACTGTCATTTGTTTGAGAAAAAAACTTCGTTCATTTCCCCCCTCTAATAAACTTTGCGGATGAAGTTTTATATTTTATCCGTGAACTTTGTATTTACTCAATTATCATATAAATCTGAGATCTGGTTTAAGCAACATGGCGTAATTTAATCGATTCGCGTGTTTGTTATTATTACACGTTTCTCGATCTCACATTGAAGAGGAATCTAAGAATGCCGTGCAAATCCTGAAAAACACACACATATATATATATATATATATATATATATATATATATGCATGTACACGCTTTATAAATACATCAACTCGTACACCGAAGTGATTCAAACCAAGCAGAAGATTCGACTCGACTGTTAGTAGCTCGTTTAACATCTCTTCCCTCCCGCTTCGATTTATCACCCCCTTGGCGGAATACCAATGTACAAAGTCACGTGTCGGCGAAACACTCCCCTATCGAGCGCGTTATTTCCCTCGATTTCGTCCCTCTGGACCTTCCCAAGGGGAAACGAAGAAAGCGTTTCAAAGGCGAAGAACGAAGGAAAAGACGAGGAAACGAAGGAAAGGAGAGGGAAGGAAAGAAAAAAAGAAAAAAAGAAAAAAGCCCCGGTGGAACGAAACCTAGTTAGCCGGCGGAGTGGGGGCGAGACGGCGGAGGAGTGGGGGAGAGGAGCAGCGAGGGGAAGAGAGCGCGCAGGGGTAGGGGATCCAGACGTATTAATTAAACGACTCATTTTCATCGCACGACAAAAACGTGAGTTTAACGCCCATCGGCGGCTAATGCGTCGCCCCACGGCAGCTCGTGGATAAGGGGTAGCGTGGCCAGGTTCCGACCAGCGAGTTTCAACCACGGCCAACCGTCCAATCCTGTCGAGGCTGGTGTACGCCTAGCGTGGCTCCTCGGTACCTTCGAGTACCGCCCAACTCTGCCCGATCCTCTTGCCCCCACTCCGCTACGTGGGCCGAGGTGGTGGGGATTGGAAGCGGCTCGGCACACCCCCCACCACCATCCAAGAGCGCCTCGTTTAGCCTGTAATTTGCTCAAACACTAGCAAGCTCTCGTGCCAGAAACATCCGTCAGAGAGCCCGTGTCTGCTGGAGTCTCGAGATACGCTTCTAGCGGGGCCCAGCACCAGTTGGCTCTGCTTCTTTTTTTTTTTTTTTCCCCCCTTCGACAACTCTCTCGCGCGCTCTCTCGTGCGGTGTACATACCTCTCGGCCGGTGTAAATTTGGTGCGCCCGCAGGCAAAGAGCTCGATGGAAGAGGCGCGGTCCCGTGATATCGCAGTGTGTGTCGGCCGTGTGAGCTAACCGCTTCGTTGGTGCCCTCTCATTACGTTACAGTGGTGACATTTTTTTGACTCGGGTCTCGGGGGATCATCGCGGACGTTCGTTTGGGTGATCTCTTGAGTGACAGTTTTTATTTTTTTTTTAACGAATCGTTTAAAGAACGTGCGATGAACGAGGATGAACGAGTGGTGATGATTCCTTTGTGGAACTGAACAATGTTGCGAGTTTCGATAAGACGAGAAGAAGAAGCAAAGTAAAACTTTCGTCGTTTAAAGGAGGAAACGTTAGTGAGTGATAGATAGAACGACGAGGCGAACGATGCACTTGTTTATATCCGACCGATAATTTAACGAGTTTACACACACGCACACGACACACATATACACGCACATACACACACGCGCACGCACACACATACACACACACAAAGGACTACACGAAGAGAGGAGCCGTTCAGAGACAAAAAAAAAAAAAAAAAAAAGAGTTACCAGTGCGTGGATAAAAGTGTATTCAAAGTGTTCTCGAGGGGTAACCCGTGGCTGGACGTTTGGCAGGCAAGCGTTCTCGGTCTGGTGAGGGAGCCAGGGCCGAGGCGGGTGCAGGCATGCGGCGGACCTGACTCAACCGAGCTAGCGTGTTGCAGAAGTGGCCAATCCATCAGCCGGGCGTACGATAATCGTACGATGATGCCGCTCGCGCCGACGCCAATTGTTCCTGTGCCCTCGAAGCCGAAGATCGGCTTCAGCATCGACTCGATCGTCGGCGGTGGTGGGCAGGGGCGGGATGATCGCTTGGACCGTTTGGAGCGGGTCGAGATCGAGAGAGACGATGGGAGCCCCATGGACGTGGTCGAGGGTTCCTCCTCCCCCCGCGCGCGCAGGGTTACCACGAGATCGCCCGGCGCCCATTCCGAGGGATCCGACCGTCCCGTCTCCCGGAGCTCCTCCGTCGAGTCTTACCCCAACTCGCGGAGGACGCCGTCGCATCCGGGCGGCCACCATCACCATCACGCGAACAACCACCACGGCCACCATCATCATCTGTCCGCCGCGACGCACCTCGACTTCGGCCGCGCAACGGTGCACAGCCACAGCGGGGGATCGACGCCCAACAACAGCCCGAGCCCCCCTCACAGGATATCGCACGGGGACTCCCCGGTCGGCGCCCACCCCCAACCACCGCCAGGGGTCGTCAGGCCCAGCCCCAACTATCTCGCGCCACCGCCCGGCGCGGCGACCGCGGCCGCTGTCGCCGCCGAACAATTGAAGTCCCTTTACGGGCTGCCCGGCCACGGGCCGGCCGGGCCCCAAACGGGCCAGACCGAGTACCATACGCAACAGCAATTAGCCCTTGCCGCGAATTTGGCGGCGGCCCAACATTTCCAAGCTGCCAATCTGGCTGTGGCCCTCCAGGCGCATCATGGCGCGTCGCCCCACGGCCCACCCCACGGCCCGTATCCCCATGGCGGTGCGCCTGGCGGGCCCCATCCACCGCCGCATCCTCATCAGCCGCCCAGGGACAGCTATCCGCTTTACCCTTGGCTGCTCTCCAGGCACGGAAGGATCTTCCCTCACAGATTTCCTGGAGGTATGTTTATTTATACCTTTTTGTTGTTTTCTTTCCTTTTTTTTTTTGTTTCTTTGGTGGGAGGGGGAGGGAGGGGAGGGGAGGGGGAGGAGAGGAGGGAGGGAGGGAGGGAGGGCGGGCGTTGATTGTCAGGCTGGGCACGTTGTTTCGTGTTTCTCGGAACTGTCGACTCTGGTATTGGTTGGTATAGGGTTGCTTTTCGATTTCTCGTGACACGTGTCAGTGACGAGGATACGGAATTCGTAAATTAGAAGAGAGATGGTGGATAGTTTTTTTTTTTTTTTTTCCCAATCGATAGGGATAGGGAACGTGCAATTCTCTAGTTTGTGAGAATTTTATTGTATCATGTTTAGTGTATCTCTGGCGTTATTATATATTTCTTTTCTCGACGCTTAAGTTTACGAATTTCGAGAAATCTAGTTCGAACGATGAGTGTATGAATATATTATATATTCATACGCGACTTTTTTCCCCCATCCAGCTGTTCTCAGCTTCTCTCAAAAAATATATCTCATTTCCTTTTTGATAGACGGATATCGTACGATACTTCCTTAATATTCCGTTTATTCATTATCATATATATTTGTTCTTGTACAACGAGCGTACAACAAGCTGTTACACGCACATCAATTTCACGTGGGTAAAAATTAAAAACAAATACAGTTATGGATAATGGAACGTTTAGATAGTGGGAACATTGGGATAGGAAAACCCGTTTAGATAGTAGGTGTCCGGATGATGAAGGTTTCATTGTACTCTAAAATTAAATAACTTGACTCAAACTGTTATGACTCACCTACGATATCAATTCAGAATTAATGGAGAGGTTCTCCGGAGAGGTTGTTGATTTCTCCTTGCCCGTTGCGTGAAAACACGAGAAAATGGAACGCACTGGTTGCTCTACAAAACTGGCCTCTTACTTTAGAAGATTTATTATGGAAATTAAAGAGTATGCGAGATGGAAAAGATTTCCGATTATACGCACGCGAAAAGGAAAAATTCACGCGGCCGATAATGTAGATAACAAGAGAAGAGAAAAATCGATTCTCTTTCATTATTGGTTTCGTTTGTAGTTTGTAGAAACGTAGGTGTGAAATGAAAGAAATGAGAAAAGAGGATAGGATAATACCTAATTAGAAAATTAATATATCTGTTCGTGTAACACTTTATGCTATCATAAAGCCGGCTATAATATATTAAAATTTATTCATTTTTGGAATTGCAAATTTCTCTAATTATCATTCTATAAATTATAATTCTCCCTCCTCTTTTTTTTTTTTTTAATTTCGATCGAGATTATTTCGTGCAAATAGCGACTACGACTTTTTCTTTTTTTACAATTATATTCCTCGATCAACATCAAAAAAAAAAGAAAAAAGGAAAAGTCATTTCACGTCAATGTATGTTTTTACTTGATCCTTACCTAATCGTAATTATTGATTTACCGATCGTATAATATAATTAATTCGTGATCCACATATGTGTATAACTCGACGTTAATTAAGGCCTAATGAATTAAATCGCTTGTCAAAATGTTTCTGCTTGTTTATTCAACGCCGCATTAATTCAAATCCCCCTCCCTCTCCTCCTCTCCCCCTTCCATAATATCGGTATATCTATTTATAATAACACGTTTGTCGCAGGAAAAAAAGAAAAAAAAAAAAAAAAAGAAGAAATGTTATCGATTCATCGGAACGACAGTAAAATTATTATTCAATTCTCTCGTTTTAAACGACAATTCGTTACGGATCTCGTCGATCGATTTCAAAATCGTGTTTGACGTAGAATTATCGCTCGAGTGAGAGATATCGACGCGGTTTTTTTTTTTTTTGCTAGCTAGGAGAAGGAAAAAAGAGAGAGAGAGAAAGAGAGAGAGAGAGAAAAGAAAAAGAAAAAACGAAGTTCATTTACATGGATAGATCGTTGTCAGTTTGTCTATATTTACTCGCACGCGATCTTCGTCTCGAAGAATTCGCGAATCTCTGTGAACGACCTAACCTCACTTTCTTTCCATTCGTTAATTTCCTCGTATATAAGAACGAGAAGAAAGAAAGGGATAGAAATGAGTATTTAAAATCGCGGATTTAGATAGGGAAATAATTTATGATCGCTTGTGTTTTCTTTTTTTTTTTAATTTTCTACAACATTTCTTCCACGCGATCACTTTAAATTTTCCACGCTTTGGAAATTTTCTGGTCTGGTGATTTGGTGTTTTTTTTTTTTTNTTTTTTTTTTTTTTTTTTTTTTTTGGTAATTGAGTTCGGAAACGGAAGTTGTTAATTACTGTGCTATGTAACATGGTGGTCGAGAACATCGTAACCGCTTGATCCTTTCAACTTTTGTTGATTTTGAAAGTTTTTCTGGTTCGGTTAATGTTTTTGATAATTGCACAGGAAGTTGATAATCGCGGTAAACTTAAATAGTTTTGAATTGAAGATAACCTAAACTTTTTAAAAGCTTCGATAATGTTATTTTGTAGTTATACAATGTATAATATGCGATATTCCGAATGCTTGTAATTAAGATCAATTAAACGTTTTAATTTAATTTAAAATTGAGATTAATCTCAATTATACATCTCGAAAAAAATACTTACAATCTGAAATTCTTTCTGCTCGAATATTGATATTTTCGATAATTATGGAACGATATTAAAATCAATCGAAAATATTTTAGTTTCTTAAATTAAAATTCTCGCGAAAGAATTTCTAATTTTTCGATAATTATATAACATTAATTATTTTGTAATATATTACTCGCGTTATTAGATTATCTTGAAAAACATAAACAAGAATTAATACTTTATTAAAACACATTTTCACGCAGCTCCTTTTATCTTTTACAATATTTATAATATTTTTTCCTTCTTCCACAATATTTTCCAGAATAATTTACAGATTTACACACCTCGAAGTTCAATTCAAAAAGAATGAATCGGATAACTTAGAAATTAGTATCCTATAAAACCTTATCTCATCACACGCTCGTGTTGCCATCTAATCTCTCCTATTTTTTCCCAAATCCAAATAACTTTCCAACAATGTAATATATGTATTCTATTATAATATTACACGAGAGGATGGAACGAGGGAATCGGATCCTTTCGAACTAGTATCCTATAAATCCCCATACAATAAAATATACTTGTTACATCGAACATTATCTAATTTGCAACGTTTTAAAAAAAATATATATTTTAAAAAATTTATAAATTTTTCCGATTTTAAAAAATATATATATTTTTAGGAATATGAAGATACAGATAGATAGTTCCTTCTTTGATTCTCTGAAAAGTGAAATAGAGTTATTGGAAAAATTGTTCGTATAAGCGAATCCCTGGGAAATTGGGATGAGAATTTTTCCACTTCCCAAACAACCCATGACATTTCTCAAATGGACTCGTATTCACACGGATTCTTATTCGCCACCATATAGAGAATCTCTGCACGGAAGAATCGATTATTTGAAAATCGGTTATCCCTTATCATCCGACACTTTTCCCCCCAACGTGCTCCCCAACTTTTTCCAAAATTATTACGATTACAATACGGTTACAATACAGTTTCACTGGATGATAATAATATTCACCATCACATCCGAAAGGTAAAGGAGGCGTATCTAAACTGTCGATAATTTTCGAGATAACCGGACGATCCAGAGAGAGTTAACTCGTCATTTTCCAAGTTAATGAACCCCAGTGGCGCGATACTCCCTGGCTTCCTCCTTCGTTTATTCCATATACGGGGACCGGTTCCATCCGTCCGTCCCGGCAAAGATCATCGATTTCGTCCCCATGTAAACAAGCGTACTTTATTACAACGATCGTTGGTAAACGAGGGACACGCGATAATTACCAGTGCACAGAGTTAGTAAATAAGAAGAAGAAGAAGAAGAAGAGGAGGAGGAGGAGGAGGAGGAGGAGGTGGAAGAAGAAGGGACGTTCCTCCCCCTTCCCCTCCGTTGTTGACGAAAGGGTTATGCAACTTGGACGACTTTCGTAATGGGGGGGAGGGGAGGGGAGAGAGATTTTGTAACGTTGTTGTGTCCACGACATTTTTTTCTCCTTCCCCTCCCTTTTTTTTTTCCCCTCTTTATCACGGCCACGAGCGAGGAGGGCAAAACAAGTGGCTTCGTGTAATTGATTCATTCGAACGAAGATAACCTAAGGAGACCAATTATGAATTATTCCACGATACGGCCATATCGTAATACAGAGATAAATGTTCTATCTAGTCACTGTTGATAGCGTGGATGGTGAATGGAGGAGCGATACGATGCTCTTCTTCCTTTTTTTCTCTTTTTTTTACCGATGGTGGTTGTGCTCGACTCGATGGTACGGATTGGATTTTTTTGATTCTGGTAGTGTTTTGGCGCCGATTTTAAAAAATATATATATTTTTAGGGATGGAGATACAGATAGATAGTTCCTTCTTTGATCCTCTGAAAAGTGAAGTAAACGGGTAGAGTTATTGGAAAAATTGTTCGTATAAGCGAATCCCCTGGGAAATGGGGATGAGAATTTTAAAAAGCGTGGAATAAAAATTGGATCGAAATATCTCAAGATTATTAGTACATTAGAAGACAATTTATGAGATAAAAAGTTTCATCAATTAATTAGCGGAAAAATATTTCTTTCGAAAGGGACATTTCACAAAGATAAAATCGTCGTTGTCAATTTGGACAACAGAGTTACAATTGAATCTTATCTATAAGAAAAAGAGGAGGAACAAATTCCTGTATATATGAGCGACGCCACCACTTTAAGGGAAAAATTTCCCGATAAAATTGATGATTCTCATTATCGTCTTATACAACACGCATACACATATCCACATGTGTTGCACGACACGACGACAGCACGCCAATTTATCTCTTACCGAGGCTGCCTGTAACTCGGATCTAATTAGCCAAGGTAAAACAGGTAGCTCTGCATTGTAAGACGAAACGATACTGTTCGACAACAGCTCTCGTCATTTTCTCTAGCGTTAGAAAAAACGAGA